TTGAACTAGAACACTTCTGATTTTTTTTTTTTTTGTCTTTTTGATAAGAGCCAGGTATAAGGTATAAGGTGATATCTCATTGTGGTTTTGATTTTGCATTTCCCTGATGATGAGTGATGTTGAGGATCTTTTCATGTGCCTATTGGCCGTGGGTATGTCTTCTTTAGAGAAATGTTTATTCAGGGCACCTGGGTGGCTCAGTCATTAAGCGTCTGCCTTCAGCTCAGGTCGTGATCCCAGGGTCCTGGGATGGAGCCCCGCATCGGGCTCCCTGCTCCTCGTGAAGCCTGCTTCTCCCTCTTCCACTCCCCCTGCTTGTGTCGCCTCTCTCACTGTGTCTTTCTCTGTCAAATAAATAAATAAAATCTTTAAAAAAAAAAGTCTGTCAAGCCCTCTGCACATTTTTTATTCGGGTTATTTGGTTGTTAAGGTGTGAGTTTTTTTATATATTTTAGATATTAACCCCTCATTGGAGATAGGATTTGCAATTATCTTCTCCCATTTAGTGGTTGCCTTTTTGTTTTGTTGATGGTTTGCATGCAAAAGCTTTTTTGTTTGATGTAGTCCTATTTGTTTATTTTAGTCTTTGTTGCCCTTGCCTCAAGAGAGTGAGTCAAAAAAAAAATATCGCTAAGACTGATGTCAAAGAGCTCACTGCTTATGTTCTCTTCTAGGAATTTTGTGGTTTCAGGTCTTACATTCAAGTCTTTAATCCATTTTAAATTTCTTCCCATTGTATATTCTTGTCTCCTTTGTCATAGATTAATTGACCATATATGCCTGAGGTTTTTTTCTGGACTCTCTGTTTTATTCTATTCATCATCTGTGTGTCTGTTTTTGTGTCAGTACCACACTATTATGATTACTGTAGCTTTGTAGTACAGTTTGAAACCAGGGGTCATGATCTTCCCAGTTCTGTCCTTTTACAAGATTGCTTTGGCTATTGGGGGTCTTTTGTGGTTTCATACAAATTTTAGGATTCTTTGTTCTAGTTCTGTGAAAAATGTCTTTGGTATTTTGATAGGGATTGCATTGAATCTGTGGATTCCTTTGGATATTATGGACATTTTAACAATATTAATTCTTACAATTCATGAGCATGGTATCTCTTTCCATTTTTTGTGTGTCATCTTCAATTCCTTTCATTAATGTCTTACAGGTCTTTCACTTCCTTGGTTAAAGTTATTCCCAGGTATTTTATTCTTTATGATGCAATTGTAAATGGGTTTGTTTTCTTAATTTCTCTTTCTGATAGCTTATTATTAGTACATAGAAACAATCAATTCATGTATGTCAATTTTGTATCCTGTGACTTTCTTGAATTTGTTTATTAGTTCTTTTTTTTTTAAGATTTTTTTTATTTATTTGACAGAGAGAGACAGAGCGAGAGAGGGAACACAAGCAGGGGGACTGGTAGAGGGAGAAGCAGGCTTCCCGCGGAGCAGGGAGCCCAATGTGGGGTTCGATGCCAGGACCCTGGGATCATGACCTGAGCCAAAGGCAGACACTTAATGACTGAGCCACCCAGGTGCCTCTCGTTTATCCGTTCTAATAGTTTTTTTGGTGAAGTCATTAAGGTTTTCTATGTATAGTAGCCTTTCATCTGCAAATAATAACAGTTTTATTTCTTCCATTCCCAATGTGGATGCCATTTCTTTCTTTTTCTTGTCTAATTGCTGTGGCTAAGACTTCCAATACTATATTGAATAAAAGTGGTAAGAGTGGACATCCTTGTCTTATTTCTGATCTTAGAGGAAAAGCTTTCGGCTTTTTGCCACTGATGATGATAGCTGTGGTTTTGTTATATTTGGCCTTTATTGTGATGAAGTATGTTCCTTCTATACAATTCTGTTTAGAATTTTTATCATAAATGGGTGTTGAATTTTGTCACTCTTCTTGCATCTATTGAAATTATCATATGATTTTTATCCTTCGTTTTGCTAACATAGTGTATCAGGTTGATTGCTCTGTGGATGTCAAACCATTCTCGCATCCCTGGAATAAATGCCACTTGATTGTGGTGTGTGATCCTTTTAATGTATTGTAGAATTCAGTTTGCTAATTGTTGAGGATTTTTGCATCTATGCTCACCAAGGATATTGGCCTGTAATTTTCTTTTTTCATGATGTCTTTGCCTGGTTTTGGTATCAGGTAAATAAAATAAGTTTGGAAGCATTCCTTCCTCTTCAACTTTTTAGAATAATTGAGGAGGTTAACTACTAACTCTTCTTTAAATATTTGGCAGAATTTACCTGCAAAGCTGTCTGGTGCTGGACTTTTGTTTTGGGAGGAGTTTTTAAATTACTGATTAAATTTTATTACTTGTAATCAGTCTATAAGGATTTTCTATTTCTTCATAATTCCATCTCAAAAGGTTACATTTCCTACTTTTTAGTTTCATTGACCTTGCTATTGTTCTTTAAGTCTCTGCTTATTGCCACTCTGGTCTTTATTTCTTCCTTTTACTAACTTGGGGCTTTGATTGTTCTTTTTCTAGTCCCTTTAGGTATAAAGTTAAGTTGTTTATTTGGGATTTTCTCTTGTTTCTTGAGGTACACCTGTAGAACTATGAACTTTCCTCTTAGAACTGTTTTTTCATTCTCCCACAGATTTTAGAAAGTTGTGTTTTCATTTTCATTCATCTCAAGGTATTTATTTTCCCTTTGATTTCTTCATTGACCCATTGTTGTTTAGTAACATGTTGTTTAGCCTTTACGTATTTGTTTTTTTAAAGTTTTCTTCTTGTAATTGATTTCTGGTTTCATACCAGCATGGTCAGAAAAGATGCTTGATATGATTTCAGTCTTCTTGAATTAAGACTTGTTTTGTGGCCTAACATGTGATCTCTCCTGGAGAATGATCCATGTGCACTTAAAAAGAATGTGTATTCTGTAGTTTGGGGATGAAATGTTCTGTATGTACCTATTAAGTCCATCGGGTCTAATGTGTAGTTTAAGGCCAATATTTCCTTGTTGATTTTCTGTCTGGATGACATATCCACTGATGTAAGTGGGGCATTAAAGTCCTCTACTATCATTGTATTACTGTCCATTTCTTAAAATCCCTATGAGCTTTCAAAGATAACATGAGAGATTTCGAAGATATTTCCTTCTTAAGACAGACACTCCAGAGTATTCCTCAGACTTTGTGCAAGTTCCCTCTCTGGTAGAAAAGTTTGAGCAATGTTAAAATAATGCATTTCCCCTCTCTGTGTGATTATTGTTTTTATAAAGATTCATTGAGATTCTAAGACCCAGAAGAATGCCTCCGTGATGGTGGGATTTAGTCCACGTGACTGATGACGGCAGACGAGAACTCCAGAATATTTGAGCTGGAAGGAACTGTAGATATCAAGTCAGGTTCTTTATTAACAGAAAAGGTCCAAAAAAGGAAATGGGATATGCCCAAGGTCACAGAGCTCCATCTCAAGGGTGCCAACCCTACCTGCTTTGGAAACAACTTTAGCAACCACCTAACACCCACCCCTCCGAGATCCACAGCTGCAGCTCAGTGGACTCATTGCCTCCTCAGGGGCAATGAAAATCTTCTTGGGTCTAGGTCTGCTGCCCATCTGTCCCTCCGCAGGTGGTTCTAGAGCCACCCGAGGTGGGTTCCAAAGCCCCAGGAAAAAGAGGTGCACAAGCTGTCTACGTCCAGCTTTTTGTATCATTTGCTTTCTGTTCTGTGGCCTTGGCAATGGTCTAGTCCTATTCTCTCTACCCAGACATCTTTGCAGTTATTATAAACTTGTTATCTTAGTCACTAATTATGGCTTGTATTAGTCAAGGTCCCAGCAGGAAACAGATGGCACACTCAGGGCTCAACTGAAGAGAGTTTAATGGGGGGACTGTTTACAGAGGGCTGGTGAAGCGCCAATAGACTAGCAACTGCAGGAAGCCATTACCACCCACACATCCAAAAGGACAGTAAGAGGAGGTGAGTTGCATGAGCCCAGTGGGAGCTGGAGCCATGGGAGAAGGGCCACCCAGCCGGAAAAACGCAGCCACTCGCAGAACTACAGGGAGGAAAAGAAGGAATGTGGAAGAAATGCCCCACCTCTCTTTCTTCCCTCCTCCTGGCTTCTGCCAGGACCTCCTGTTGGTGAAACCCATCTGGAAGCCAGATGGCAAGGGAGCCCAGCTGAGATGGCCCACAGGGGATGTCCTCCCAGGTGGAGAAGCAGAGAATGGAAGGGGGGCAGCGCGAGGGACAGAGAATATCAGCACGTGACTTACTTCTTTCTCTCATTTATCTACTCTGCTTGCAACGTGCCACATCTGTCATCTCTCTCTGGTTCTTGAGTGCCGATCACTGAGTTCCAACTGGCTGGACATTTCATGTGGTCTGATTAGACCAAGTATCAGCCAGAAATGGCCAACTGCAGAAAATGTTGTTGCAGTGATGTCATGTTCTGTAAGCTTTATTCTTCATGGGTCAACAAATTCTGCCCATTTAAGTGCCCGAAACCCAATGTCTTCTCTTTTAAAAATGCTGAAAATAGGTATTTCTTCCATTTACTTGAACAGTGGGTGAAGCTTAATACTGTGTTGGACTGAGACTCTCACGTTCATGCCTTTGGTGATCTGGCAGGAGGCCCAGGGTCAGTAAGGCCCCAGCCCAACCAAAGCTGTGGGCTGGGGGTGGTTACTGGGGTTCATCTCATGCTAATTTGAATCGCTAGATCGCTGTGCTGACAAGGATCATGAGGCTGTATCTAGCCTCAGCAGTGCCACAATTGATTAGTGATGTCTGCCATGGACGTAGACAAAGCTATGGTGGTGCCATCTTGGACCTAAACTGTTACCTAGCTTGGCTTTTGGAGGAACGTCTGTGATTTCCTCCTCTACCAGCCTGTGACTTCCTACCCTTTCATTCTTCTTTCTTTCTCTCACCATACTAGATCACGCTAAGTGATCCCAGCCTAGGAGACTATCCAGCCAGGTCCACCTCAACCCCTCTAGCTAGCTAACCAAGGAACCTGACCACACTCTTCTTCACAGGCCACCACTCACGTGTACGTGACCATCATGGACGAGAATGATAATGCGCCAGTGTTCGAGCAGCCCCACTACGAGATCTTACTGGATGAGGGCCCAGACACAATCAACACTAGCCTCATCACCATCCAGGCACTAGACCTGGACGAAGGGCCCAATGGCACAGTTAACTATGCCATTGTCGCAGGCAACATCATCAACACCTTCCGTATCGACAGACACACGGTCAGCAGCTGATGGTGGGGTTTAGGAGGAGGCTCAGGTGGCTAAGGGGATTGGAAGGGACCTCAGTGACATCATGGGAGGTGGGAGCAGAGCACAGATGGAGTCTGGGAGGAAAGTGTGGGGGCAGCCAGTGCAGAAGGAAGCAAAGCTTGTGGGACGGCAACAAGGGCTCCCCATCATGGCCGGGATGTCAGAGCACACTTCCTGGGGTGGTCTGAGGTGCCCCATGAAGAAGCTGGTCCCCGGGGTGCCCCAGACCCACCACCCAGTGATCCACCCTTGTCCCTTCTGTTATCCCCCAGGGCGTCATCAGTGCCGCCAAGGAGCTGGACTATGAGATTAGCCATGGCCACTACACTCTGATCGTCACTGCCACGGACCAGTGCCCGATCTTGTCTCAGCGCCTCACCTCTACCACCACGGTGGGTGGGTGGGACATAGCCTCAACATGGGGGAGGACAGGGCCCAGAAAGCTCTAATGGGGAAGGGGAAAAGGGAAGATTGTCCAGGAGAAACACCTAAATCCGAGAGCCCTGTCCTGGTCTTGGTAACTCAGCCAAATTTGCTGTGTGACTTTGAGGAGGTTACTGAACTTCTCTGCGTGGCTGCATCTGTCAGACAGATGATGACACCTGCCTTCCTCCCCTTCATGGGAAGAGCACAAACTCTGGTCAAACCAACAGAAACTCATATCCCTGCTCTTCAGCTCCCTAGCTGTGTGACTCTGGGAGAGTCATTTAGCCTGCCTGAACTTCGCTTTCCTCCTCCATGAAAGGGAGATAGTAGAGACTTGTCAGGGTGTGGGCAGAGCAGATGAGACCATGGGAAATGACCGTAGTACGGCAATAAATAGAAGTTTGTAGCATTATTATTACCAATACAATGATTATGCCCATAAAAAGGCTTTGACAATGACAGTAACTTATCCATAGGCATAGTTTAAAAGCCCCCCCCCCACCATCCACGATCCCTGAGGATTCTTGCATCAGCCCCCTGAGACAGGATTACCAGACCCACTTTACAAATGAGGGAACTGGGCTCAGCACAGGGCTAGCCGGGATGCAGCCCCAGCTAAGCTCATCCACCATCTCAGGTACTTGTGAATGTGAATGACATCAATGACAATGTGCCCACCTTTCCCCGAGACTACGAGGGGCCATTTGATGTCACCGAGGGCCAGCCAGGGCCCCGAGTGTGGACCTTCCTGGCCCACGACCAGGACTCGGGCCCCAACGGGCAGGTGGAATACAGCATCGTGGATGGAGACCCTCTGGGTGAGTGGGGCCTGAGCCGGGCATGGAGGGCAGCACAACCTGGGGGCCTCTACCCCACCCCACTTAGGAGTCGTGGCCTTGCGCTCTCTGGGCCTCAGTTTCCCCACCCAGAAGATGATGGAAATACTCTTCTCCCCACCCCTTCCTCACAGGGATATGTGAGAACATTCTGAAATCTGAGGCTGGTAGCCTTGGAGGGTCAGAGACCCCTTTGAGAATCAGATAGAAAATGCCCCTGCATCATACCCAAAGGAAAGAAAGACTCCAGGGCAGAGGGAGGGTGAATATCCTTGCCCCAAACCTTCAGGAACCCCCAGATGCATTCAGCACCCAGATTTTTCCGCACAACTTGTTACCATGAATAGGCTTCACAGCTACCTCGGTGCTTGTCCTCAGGTGGAGAGCAGGGCTGGCCCTGGCCACAGCGGTTCCTCAAGTCCGTTTCCACTCATTTCTGCAGAGTCGGAATTCCAAACTCAAAGGCCTGCCGGTGTCAGGCCAGGGATACACATGGGGGAAGGGGTCTAGGCAAGACAGTAGGGAGTAGTGGGGCTGTGATGGCCACGCTCAGCTCCGGCCAGTGTGGCTGTGTCAACATGCAGGCCCACAGGGGCTAGGTCTTCCCATCTTCAAGACAAAAGCTAGAAATCCAAATCTCTGTGAAACATCCTGATTTTCAATTGATCAATTGATCATTCAGTAAATATTTATTGAGCACCTACCATATGCCAATCGTATTCCAGGTGCTGAGGATGCAGGATGGTACAAAACAGACACAGACCCCTGCCCTTAGAGAGCACGCGTTCCAGTGGGAAGACACAGGCGAGGAACCTACGTGGCTGAGGAGATAACTTAGTATGTTGGGAGGTGCTGAGTGCTAGGGAGAAACATAAAGCCAAGAGATGGGACATGCCAGGCAAAAGCTGCAGTTCTGGATAGGGTGCTCAGGGAGGAGGTGACATTTGAGGTGATATTTGAGCAAAGACCTGAAGGAAGGAGGAGTGGGTCATATGGATATCTGGGGAAGACCATTCCAGGCAGAGGGAACAGCAAGTGCAAAGGCCCTGGGGCCAGAGCACACCTGGCACGTTCACATGTGTGAACGCCAGTGGCTGGCGTGAAGTTGCGCGAGAGGAGGAGCAGGAAGGGATGACGTCAGAGAGGTAGTCGCTCCAGATGTTCTTGGGCCTTGCTGACCATGATGAGGACACGGCTTTGGCTCCGAGTGGTCTGGGAACCATAGGAGGGCTTGGAGCACAGGAGGCACACGATTGGACTTAGCTGTTACCAGGGCCACTCTGACTCCCGTGCTCAGAACAGACCGCTGAGGTTAAGAGTGGGAGCAGAGGGACCACAGGAGCCTGTTGCAGTCACTCGGGCTACAGATGGTGTAGCTGGGACCAGGCTGGTCGCACCCGAGGTGGTGACGGTGAGGTAGACAGAGCTCTGGTATAGTTCAGAGCTGGAACCAACAGGATGTGCTGACGTATTAGATGTGGAGAAAGTCTAAGCTGACACCAGGCTTTCGGTCTGAGCAACTGGAGAGAGGGCATGACCATCTGCTTGTGGGGAGGCTGCAGCAGGAGCAGGTGTGGGGAAGAGGTGAGGTGAGGGGTGAGATCTCAGGTGGGGCTTAGATGCACAAGCCAGGGGTTCGGGAGGGAGGTCTCTGCTAGAGGCAGGTACCTGGGAGCTGTCAGCATAGAGCTATGCAAAGCCACGAGATGCGAGGCCCGCACTGGGGAAGGGGACAGACGAGAGCTCCAAGGGTAGAACCCAGAACCTGGAGGGTATTCGCAATCAGGAGGCTAAAACTCCACCCCCGTAGGGCAAGACTTGGAGCCCCTGCTACCATGAGCTTGCAGGAGGTCACCCCATTCTGACAGGCCACCCTTTCATGTCCCAAAAGTCCCTTCTCTGACCAAGCCCTGTGGCTTCCTTTCCCAAAACCAGCACAGTGAGGGACTTTCTCTGTTATTCTCACAACCATGGAGGCTTTATCGTTGCATGGCAGTTCCCGCACCTGTTTGGGAGGCTGCCAAAGCTTCATTGAGGGGTGGCTGCTGGGCAGGCGGCTGAGCCCCTTCCTAGCAAGAGGCCCTCACTGCACCCAGCTTTGGGGTACAGGGCTCACACCTGTATCCTAACAAACTGTAGACGGCTCCATACCATGGATTTTTGGAGCCTTGAGCCACACCTCCCAGTTAAATGGACACATGATCAGGGTCAGCCGTAGGAATTCAAGGTCTTGTGGGGTGTCCCAGGAGACTGAGAGGCAGGCACACACACACACACACACACACACACACACACACACACACACACAAACCCCGCCTGGAGGAGTAAGAGAAGCTTGGAGTCCCCTTCCCCTAGGAAGGAAGAGCCCAAAGATAACTTCAGGATCACAGAGCACGGCCCCATTTCAGGATGGACAACAGAAGGCCGGGGGTGGGGGCGAGGGAGAGGCAACCTGGGGGCATGGCTGACTGGCTCCCACAAGGCACAGTATCCACTCCGCACAGCGCCTCCTACCTCCAGGTTCAGTGACACCGCGGTGGCAACGTGAAAACCTGACACGCTACGCATCAGGACTGTTATCAGTGGAGAGCCAGCTTAGTGACACACCGTAGGTGAAGGCACATGCCCTGGGCCACCCAGCTCCCAGCACTGCAGCCTGAGCCTGGAGGGGCTCCTGTTGGTGGGGAGACATCAGGGACGACAGGGTTTTTGCCAAGCCCCACCAGGCTTTGCAGAGGAGATACGTGGTCAAGCAATAGTTGGGAAACAGGCCCTGTCCCCTGGGACCCCTCCCTCTAACCTTGGCCTTCCCGGGACCTCCAGCTGCCCCTTCCAGTCAAGCCCGCTCCACCCATCCTCCTCCTCCGTGAAAGCCCCCCACTTCCTTCAGAGGACCGCCTGGGCTTCCTTTCCGGGTCCCTCTAATGACACCAAGACCTGCCATGGGTCCAGCACACGAGACGTGGACCAGGCCTTGTCCAGTCCCAGCGCCACCATGCAGTGGTACCTCTTTACTGGCCCACTTTCCACATGAGGACATCAAGGCAAAGCTCAATCACACGCCCACGGGCACGTGGGAGTGAGGTCAGGATGCAGATGGAAAGCCTTTGTATTTAACCCCCGTCTCCAAAAGGAGTGGAATGCTGGGGAGTTCCCTGGGGGCAAGCTGCCGAGAATAATGTGTCCTGGAGTCCTTGGCCTGTCCACCTCCCCGATCTTCAGTCGTTGAGCTGATCTCATGGGGGTCTAGCTTGGGCCCAGTCTCCCAGAGCCTCAGGCCTGGCCCCCTGAGCTCTCAGAACCCTTTTCCTTCCTTCCAGAGGGTGGCTGGCTTTGGAGAAAGGGTTGGAGGCAATCTGTTCACACATGGTCAGGGGCCCAGGTAGGGCCGGGAAACCCCAAAAGAGGGAATCCCCAGCTCTTGTGAGACCTTGGAGTGTCAGGCTCAGGAAATCCTGCCTCGGACAGCTTCCGCCCCTCTGGGTGGGTGTGGCCGGTGAGGCCTGTGGTGGGGGGCACAGAAGGGCTGTTCGGGAGTCAGGGCAGCAACGGCGGGGGGCAGGGATGGTGAGGTAGGATGGGAGAGAGCAGGCAGAGGGAATTGTTGGCAGTTAGAGCCCCCATCCTTGCCGTGCCCCTGTGTGCTGTGTGTCCACAGGCAAGTTAGTGCCCCACCCTGGGCCTTTCCCCCAGGTGTCAGAGGAAAAGTGAAGGAATTCTTTTCTCTGTCCCCAGTTCCTGGGCATGCATGGAGGCAGCCCCCCTTCCTCACATCCACCCCGCCTCCCTCACTCCCCTTCCCTGCCCTTCTACCCACCCAGGCTCCCGTCTGCTCCCCTCTGCCCTTTCCCTCCTCCCACTCCCTGTGCTCAGGCTTCTCTCCCAAACCTCCCACCCTGGTCCGCTCTGATCAGGGGTCTAGAAAGACCACCGTTCCATGGATACAGTAGGCTGAGGCCCAGAGCGCTGGATTTGAATACTGGTTCTGCAATGAACTTGCTGTGGGAGCTCAGACAAGGTGTCACCCTTCTCCGGACTCTCGATTCATTTTCCAAAGGACACGAGGGCCTGGGTGGTCTCTGAGGTCCCTTCCAGGCCAGTCTGGGAATCTGAGGTTCTTGCTGTAGACTCTCTCATACACCCGGCCCCCTCGGCCAGGCCGAAACAAGGACTGAAGCCAAAGGGCCAGCTGAGGGCCTTCTAAAACATCAAAGACAAGAAGTCAGGGCTGACGAGGGGCCAAGAGGTAGGCCAAGAGGTGGCCCTGGGCCTGGCAGAACCCTGTTGACAGACCAGCCGTGGCTCAAGACCAGGGCTGTATGGAGGGCAGCTGGGGCCTTCCCTGCCCTCAGTTACTTCTGCTCTGTCCTGCCCTGTGCCTCACCACTAGCGAGCCGTCCCTTGGGAGTAAGCTTTGCCCTTTCCCCCTGTTTTCCAAGACGTGGTGTCTGGAAGGGATTGCACATCACAAAGTAGCCGAGACCTTCATTAATCAGTTTCTGATCAAGAGTGGTGAAAGGGTGCTTGTGTAGAAAGGGGGCCCCACTTTTTCTCGACATAATCGTCTTACTTAGGGTCAGTCCCTGTCCTGCATGTGGCCCAGGGAAGGGAACTGAACTGGTGTCTCAGGCACGCTGGGGTATAAGCAGACCCATGAGCACCTGCACCCCGAGTAGCTCTCTGTCCCCCTCGCTCCCGCCCTGCCCAGCCCTTGGCAGGCTCCCTGAGGATCTGAAGCTGGGGACATGGGAGGCCCTACACCCAGCTGTCCCCCACCCCTGGTGAGTAAGGCTTGCTAGAGGAAGCAGGGAGAGGCCAGGGCTTTCCACAGCTCCCAGCCATTCCCAGCTCACTCCAGCCTCCCCTGGGCAACACCCAGGGGAGTTTGTGATCTCTCCTGTGGAGGGGGTGCTGCGGGTCCGGAAGGATGCGGAGCTGGACCGGGAGACCATTGCCTTCTACAACCTGACCATCTGTGCCCGCGACAGAGGGGTGCCTCCTCTCAGCTCCACGGTGAGTCTAGGGGCTCCCCTCACTGCCTACCTCCACTCCCCATAGAGGTTCCTATTAATGTGCCCACCCTTGGGCCCAGAGAGGCCCCAGGCTGACCTGGAGTCAGTCCAGACCTGCAGAGCCCCTAACAGTCCGGCCAGTGCCTCTCGGGGCTCACTGGGGCCTGGTGGCCATGGCGGTTCAGAGCTCTCCCCACCCGGCCAGCCAGGCCTCCGCACCTGTCACTCTGCCGTTTGCCCCCCGCCCTCTGTCCGGCTCTGCCTCCTGGCCCTTTCGGCTTGCTTCCGGCCCTCATTTTCATCTTCATGCCTTATTCATTAACCTCGCCTTCCTGTTCCTTCTCCGTGGCCGCCTGCACCTTTCCTTCGTCAATCACCACCCCGCCCCGTGGCTCGCCTGCCCCATCTCGCGCCCATCACTTCCTCCTCTTCCCCAACACGCCCCAGATGCTGGTGGGGATTCGGGTGCTGGACATCAATGACAATGACCCTGTGCTGCTGAACCTGCCCACGAACATCACCATCAGTGAGAACAGCCCGGTCTCCAGCTTCGTCGCCCGTATCCTGGCCAGTGACGCTGACAGTGGCTGCAACGCGCTCCTCACCTTCAACATCACCGCAGGCAACCGAGAGCAGGCCTTCTCCATCAACGCCACGGTAGGGGGGCCCCCAGGGTTCCTTCTCAACAGGAGGACCCAGCCCTAGGGGCTTTCTGCTCTGCTGTCTGGGCGTCTTCGGGCTCAATTTCCTCCTCGAACATCCGTCCTCTGCTGGGACAGGGGAGTCTCTGGGTCGTGTGGGATCTTGGATTTCCAACTGAGCCATCTCTGAGGTCCCCGTCACCCCCAAGGCTTGCCATGTGCAGAGATGGGGCTGGAGCCTCAGTTCCATTTGGTTTATTACCAAGATGCACCGGGAAGTCCTCATTGTCCTCTTGGAGTATTAGTGGCTTCTAGCACCAAGGGGTTCTCAGGGGGCCCACCCGTCTCAGAGAGCAAGACCCGGGCATTGGTGGGTCACTCTTGCCCTGGCAAGACCCCGCCAGCCTGTGATGGCCTTCTAGACCATATCTGTGGCAATCTGGGGAGAGAATTCACAGCTGCTCCTGGAGCTGCAGGCGAAGCAGTTGGGCATCTGTGGACCAGAGCCCAAAATGGGTTCACTGCTCAGCTCACCAGCCCTCCACATCCCAGACAGGGGTCATCACCGTGAACCGGCCACTGGACCGCGAGCGGGTCCCCGAGTACAAGCTGACTATTTCCGTGAAGGACAACCCGGAGAACCCACGCATAGCCAGGAGGGTGAGGCCGGAGGACACGGGGGAGCAGGGCTGCATGCTGGAGGTGGCAGGCAGCATGGCCCGGGGGTTAGATGCGCAGGTGTCCGAGTGAGCCCATGCCGGGTTCAAATCCCGGTTCTACCTGCCATTGGGTGTGTGGCTTCGACGGGCAGATTTCTCTCCTACCCCACTTTCCTTCTCTTCTGCAAAATGAAGACTATCCCCACCCCAAAGTTGTGGAGAGGACTAGAAGGAGCCAATATCTATACAGTCATCAGCACTGTGCCTGGCATGTGGCAAACACTCAATGAACACCAGCTGTCCTCTTTTCTCCCCAAACCACTGATACTTGGGCAAACACCACCCATCACCACCCCCTTGCTTGCCTGCCCCATCTCGCGCCCATCACTTCCTCCTCTTCCCCAACGCACTCCAGATGCTGGTGGGGATTCGGGTGCTGGACATCAATGACAATGACCCTGTGCTGCTGAGCCTGCCCACGAACAGCAGCATTGAGTGGGGGTAGATGGGAAGCTGGGAGGCTGGACCCACCCCCCACCCCCACCCCACCCCCCCCGCTGCTACCTCGCCCTGTGGTTTTGAATAACCACCTCACCTCTGGGCCTTGGTTTGCTCGGCTCTGCAACAGAGATAGCATCCAGGGGTATGGAGAGGTTCTAAGATAAGGACACTACTGTGGTTTTTGAAAGGCACAAGGTACAGCACTGGGGGAGAGTTTGGTTGGGCCCAGACTGGGGTATCTGGCAGGCCTGCAGGGTCTGAAAACCCAAGAGTCATCTTCCTGCCTGAAGTCCTTCCTTACCAGGAGATGGAACGTGATTAATTGCCGGTTCCATCCACCCTGTTCACGTCACAGTACCTCTGTGAAGGAGTTAGGATTCCCATTTGCCAGACTGGAAAACTGAGGCCCAGATAGGGGAAACAACTTGCCCAAGGCCGCCAAGTGAGCTGCTAGCACAGCAGGGACTTGAACTCTGGTCTCTGGACCCTCAGTGTGGGCTTTTAAATCCTCTACCTCTGCACCCCAACCCCCCACCTCCCAACCCTCCTCCCACTGGAACATTTTGCTAGAACATGGCCTACAACCTAACCCTCCCTTGTGCCTCCCTCAGGATTTTGACTTGCTGCTGATCTTTCTGGCAGACGAGAATGACAACCATCCCCTCTTTACTGAGAGCACCTACCAGGCAGAGGTGATGGAGAATGTTCCCGCTGGTAGGTGCCAGACCCACCTGGGAGTTCCTGCTGCTGAGGCATCACCTGGGCCCCAGATGCCTGAGGACCTCCCTCGCACTTGATAGGGGCCCGGCTGAAGCCTGGCTGGGGAGGCAGCCTCACCCCATGGCTGACCAGAGACCCAGCAGGTGCAGAAGGGTGTGGAGGGGAGGCTGTTGAGGGGCTGGTGGGCCCCGGGTTGCCACACCTCTTGGGGGCCAACCAAAGACGCCATAGATCTGCTTGGAAAAGACAGCTGTGGTCATTGGTTCCCAAAGTGGTCTGAAAGCCGCCCCATTACCCCCTCCCAAGAGGGACAATTAAGGCGTGAAGACTACCCAGGAAAGGGGTAAGCTCACCCCTCCCTGCTCCCTCACCCCAGGAACACAGGGCATCCTAGAGGCTTCTGGAAGCTCAGGGAGCACATATAATCAGAGGAGGGGGGCCAAGGGGCCCCAGGTAGGCCAGTCTAGCCCCTTCCCTGCACAAGTACACTGACCAGCCTCACCCTCTTCAGAGGAACAGGCTCTCCTTTTTACCGCGCCCCTGGGGAGGCCCCCCTCGCCCCTCCTCCAGCTTCCCCAGCCCCAGAAGCTTGGATTCTAACTCAGAAAGACATGAGCCACGATGCTCCTTGTCTCTGGCTGGACATTCCCCCCTCCATCTCTTAATCCCACCTGTGTGTGCGCACACATGTACATGCTAGTACATGCCCGTGTGAGGCATGTGTGGGCTTGCTCGTGCGCACAGACACACACATAGGTACCCGTGTGCAAATGTGCCCACTTGGAGCGGCAGACAGGTGCACAAGCACAGGGATCCCTGGCCTGCCAGCACTGCTGTGTGTGTGCTCACGACCGTGACCACGGAGTCCTGCACACATGCGGGGGTCACATATTCCTAGCCGGGTACAGCCAGACCCCTATAAAGAGCGTCTTGAACACACCCATGTGGACAGGCTGGGCTGGATGTGCATAGCTAGACAGCGCCCACACACTCAGGGAGGCCCCGACCCTCCCGCGGAGTGACCCTCAAAGGCTGCTGGGAAGGCAGGCGCGCTCCAGGCGGGCCAGAAGGGCTTGCTCACCGCTGTTGTGTTTTCTCCCCAGCAGGGCTTTGAGGCTGCTCCCCAGGCATCTGCGTCAGTCTGCCAAGGCTGCCGCAGCCCGGCCCAGGGCTTCCCCACCCCGCCCACCTCACCTCCCTCCCTCTCATCCATCGTCAGCCATGGCTCACCGGGGCCGGGGTGGGGGAGGGGGCGGGCGGGGGCCAGGTCGGCCCCACAGTGACGCCTCTCCCCCTGGCCCAGGGACCCCCCTCACGGTGCTCAACGGGCCCATCCTGGCCCTGGACGCAGACCTGGACGTCTATGCCGTGGTGACCTACAAGCTGCTGGGCTCCCAGAGTGGTCTCTTCGACATCGACCTCCGCTCCGGTGAGGCCTCCGTGCCACCCCAGCTCTCCCAGCCTGGCTCCAGGGCTTCCTGCTGGGGTGGGAGTGACCCACCACTAGATCTAGGGCCTCCCTTCTCATGCTAGGTCCAGGTTCTCCAGAGGGACCCCATTCCTCACAAGCCCCATTTTACAGCTGGACTAAGCCCCCTGGGGCCGGGCAGGAGGAACCAGCAGGAGGCTTGGAGCCAACCCAAGGGACCTGCTGGTGCCTAAGCTCTCAGCCTAGGCAATGAGCCCCTAAACCCGCTCCCTCCATCTGCTCATGCCCCGGGCAGAGGCTCAGGCCCCTAGTCCACGAGAGCAGCCAAAGGTCTGTCCTCAAACCACAACCAAAGTTCCCCAGAGACCGTGTCCCCTCAGTCCGGTCCTGGACAGGAGGCCAGCCTGGTGACAGGTGACAACAGGGAGAGATATGCTGGTGAGCAGGTCAGTGCTCCTCCCTGGGTCCCTCGTCCTAGGCAAGACTCTGGAGCACTGCAGAGGGTACCTGGGGAGAGGCTCGTCCCAGGAAATTGGCCGCCGGGGGCCCTCCCTAAATGCTGCTTGTTGAGCCTTCAGGGAAGAAAGTCACTGCGTTGTCTTCCCCGCTCCACTTTCGTCTCTTTCCCCATCACACCCCTGTCTCTCTCTATCCCCTCCTGGCTGGCTATTGCCCCGTCTCCCCACTGTACCCCCTTTCCTTTGTGTCTCCCCGGCTGGTGGTGCCGGGTGCCAGGCGTGGTGACAGTGAGGTCAGGTGTCATCATTGACCGGGAGGCCTTCTCACCCCCGGTCCTGGAGCTGCTACTGCTGGCTGAGGATACTGGACTGCTCAATGGCACAGCCGACCTGCTGGTCACCATCCTGGATGACAATGACAACTGGCCCACCTTCAGCCCTCCCACCCTCACAGTCCACCTGCTAGAAAACTGCCCACCAGGTAAGCAGGGCCCAGGCCAGACCTGCTTGATGGTCCGCGGGGATTGGAGCCTCACAGGTTGGAGGCAGAATTCACCCAGTGGGGAGAAAGAAGGGCAGCAGGGCGGGCGAAGAGAGCACGGGGCGGGGGGTGGGGGGGTCAGAAAAACCAGGCAGCCCTCACCTGCCTGCTCTGATCCACAGTGTTTATCTGGAAAATGAGATTATTAAGATATGTTCCACCCGTGTCCCTGGACAGAAAGACTGTTTTAAAGTCAAAATAGGATGAATGTGAATCCCATCAAAACCCAGTAGGGTTTGGAGGGTGTGTTTGATCCTAAAGGTCAGCTGGAATAGTAAGAACATTTTGAGATAGAAGCATAAATAAGGCAGATTTGCCTTACCAGATATGACAACATGTTACAGAACTATAGTATTTAAGACCACATGATAGGAGCACAAGACTCTGGGACAAAGTAACCCAGGAACAGATACTGGTAAATTAAGGAAAGTCATATTGTGTGATTAAAGAAACAATGAAGGGGGGCCTGGCTGGCTCAGTCGGTGGAGCGTGGACTCTTATTCTCGGGGTTGTGAGTTCGAACCCCAAAATAGAGCATAGAGAGCCTTAAAAAAAATCCTCTTTTTTTTAAAGGAAACAATGAAATCAGTTGTGAAAACTAATTACTGTGCAAAATATCTATTAATATTCAGTGCAGATTCTCACCCCATGTCAGACCCTAAAATAAAACCTAAAGACGTTCTAGAGAAAATACAAAAGAATAGAAACATTTACAAACAAAAGAAGAAACTTCAGGTGAATGTTTCTCTGATTTCTGATAAAGAGGTTCTGAGCATATGAGAAACAAAACTCAAAAAAGGAAAACTATTAAATTTTGGTGCATGCTAAGTTAAATTTCTTTACACCAAACAATAGCAACCAATATTGAAAGGCAAACAAACTGAGAAAATGATATGTGTCCCCAGTTATCAAATTACAGAGTTTGCATAAGTTGACAGGTAAGTGGACAAAGGACAAAAGCGGACAATATGCAGAAGATATTACTAATCGTTAAATTAGTAAAGATTTTTCAATCTCTCAAATAATCCTAAAATGTGAAATAAAATGAGAGTTACCTACAAAGTTGCAAACATGCTAAAAGAGAACCACTGGCAAGACTGGCCAGATGGGGCCCTGAGGAACCACCAACACAGGTATCCTGGTATAAGGTTTTTGGAAGAGGCCACTGTGCTCAGCCACGCCCCATTCCCACCCCCATAGGATTCTCAGTCCTTCAGGTCACAGCCACGGACAAGGACAGTGGCCTCAATGGGGAGCTGATCTACCGAATAGAAGCTGGGGCTCAGGACCGCTTCCTCATCCACCCAGTCACTGGGGTCATCCGTGTCGCCAATGCCACCATCGACAGGGAGGAGCAGGAATCCTACAGGCTGACAGTGGTGGCCACCGACAGGGGCACCGTCCCTCTCTCGGGCACGGCCGTCATCACCATCCTTATCGACGACATCAATGACTCCCGCCCGGAGTTCCTCAACCCCATCCACACGGTGAGCGTGCTGGAGTCGGCTGAGCCGGGCACGGTCATTGCCAACGTCACCGCCATTGACCGCGACCTCCACCCAAAGCTGGAGTACCACATCATCGGCATCGTGGCCAAGGACGACACTGACCGCCTGGTGCCCGACCAGGAGGATGCCTTTGCTGTGAATATCAACACAGGTACAAGGGCCTGCTCCCCGTCCACCTCACTCCTGACCCCCTGCCCCAGCCTCCTTGCCCTCTGCTTTCTTCCTGATCCTCCCTTCTTTCTGTTCCTCCCCCTTCCGTCAGCTGCACCCGCTGCCACTCTTCCCCCACCCCCAACACCACACTGTCCCCTCTCTTCCCCCTCTCTCCCCCGGCTCCTTCCCTCTCTCCTCCTTGTATCAGCTCCATGTCTCCTTTCAGTCTCCCTCACTCTGCCAGTGTTCCGTGAGAACACCTCCCCGCACTCTTGCCAGTGCTAAATATTGTGGAGCTTTCGTGTTTGTAACTGTGTAGGAAAACGGTACCTTGTTTTAATATGTATCTCTTTAATAACCAGGTGGTTGAACGCTTTCTTCATACGTATGCTAGTCATTTAAGTCATCTGTAAATCTTATATATACCCTTGATGATTTCCTTACACTATCACAAAAGAAACAACTGTGGTTTATCTTTCATGATCTGTGCAGCTTATTATCATTTTGATGGTTTTACCATTTTCCCAATAGTTTCATGGTTTTGCTCCTCCAGGGAGTTAGGAAAAGGGCATGAGACCCCTACAGGCATACTCCTTGAAAGGCCCAGAAGAGTGACAGAAAAACTAATGTGGCTATGACAAAGTTCTAAAAATCATTGTTATTCAGAGAAATGCATAGTAGAACAGCAATGAGATAGCAATTGTCCATATGTAATTAGCAGATAGTAAGATGCTGGACAGTATTGAGTATTGGTGACAATGTGGGGACATCAGAACGCTCATACATTACCGTAGGAGCTTTAGACTGCTTCCACCATCTAGACAGCAGTATAGCACAAAGTCCACTCATACCCCATGATTCAACAATTCTGCTTGTGGGTATATGTCCCAAGGATATTCTCAGGTCAGTAACGGGACTATATGCCATGTTACCTGCCGTGTTACTGGTGGTGGGAGTTGGAGGCCACCTGGGCATCCATCCCTAGGAGATTGGAGAGTAAAACATGGCGGGAGTACACCACGGATACTATGCAGCCGTCCAAAGCGATAGATTAGATTCACAGAGAAATGTGGGTAGACCTTAAAAATAACTACTTACTGAAAGAGTAAGAAATAGAATGGCAGATATATACATATCACAGTCCCACTTATGTAAATGTAAAATGCACACACACACACACACACATACATGATTTTCAGGAACACTTTCAAATAAAAAATATACTTCAGCCTATTACAGTGATTGACCAAGGGGAGAAGAGGGGAGAGGAGATACGTACATAAAACAAGAGTGGTACCAGCGACCACAGGGTGCACGAACCCAAAGAGTACGATTCACTCAACATGCACCTGAGGCCCGAAGGGAAAAAGAAGACAGGAAAACCGGAGCCCTGGAAGAGTTTAGACGGGTTAGCCCTGCCCCGGGGGAGCAAACTCCCTGCTGCCGCCGTGGTTGGTCAGGACCATGGAAAGCTGTTCTGTGCCCCGCCCCACTTAATGCTGGGCTGGTGCCTCTACCACTTTTCTTGGCTCTCTTCTCCCTCCCTGCAACTGACTGTCTTCTCTCTATTTTTCTTTCCAGTGTCCTCTCTGCTTTCCCTACCCTTCTTGCTTACCTTTCCTCCCCTTTCTTCTCGCCGGAGCCTCAGCTCCCTGAGTGCTCCTATCCAGTGGGGCTCCCCCTTGCTCCCCTGGCTTCCTACCCACCCCCTTTCCCTCCCACTCCCTTCCCTCTCAAACCTCCTGCCCTGGGCTGCTCTGAATCCTACCGCCCCCCCCCCATGCCTTGCTCTGCTCCATCCCCTCTGCACCCCGAACTAACTGATGTTAACCCTTTCTCTCTTCCTCATGGCTGGCAGGCCTGCAGGTTTGAGCTCGGTTTCTTTGTCACTTCCCACCTCATCTCTGCTTCACCCCATTGCCTTCCTCCATACCACACCCCTGCCACCCTTCCTGTCCCGTGGGGCCCAGGCCAAGGCCGGGGCCCAGCCTTCGCAGACTGAACGCAGCCACCCTCTCCCCATCCTCGCTCCCCAGCCTCGGGGACGGGGAGCGAGAGTAGGAAGAGGCGGAGAAGGCAGCGGCCCAGGGTAAGTGACCGCCCGTGGCTGGGAGCCCGAGGAAGACGAGGAAGACCGCAGCCCAGCTGGGGGTCTGCCAAGGGGGAAGGCAATCCCAGAGGCCACACTGCCTGCGAGGGAGCTGGAGACAGAGAGGGAGTTTCACCTAGGATCAGGCCCCCAGGCCCTCCAACAGAGCCCAGCCCTGAGACCGGCCCAACTGGGTCTGTCCAGCTCGAGCCCCAGCCTCTGGAGGGTTCCTCTGTGATTCGGGGGCAGGCAGGGGCTGGGGGGGCGGGGGGCGGGGGGCAGGAGAAAAGGAAACAACTCCTTGCTAGTATTAACACAAGATGGTGCTCCTTGCCCGCAATCAGGCCCTGTCGTGCCCTACTTAATCAAGGCAAAGGGGTAGGCCTAACTATCCAGCCTGCCCCACCACTGTCCCCTCCAGAGAACACCCTCAGGGATTTCTAGCTGCCTTGACCTTTTTATACTTGGTCTCCCTAGAATATAGGCATCGTTTAAGCTGTGATAAAATGCACCACATTAACCATATTTAAGCATACGGCTCAGTAGTGTCAGTATACGCAATTGTTGTAGAATACAAGCATTTTTGAAACAAGCAATTACATGGCACTTATGTGTCCAGCACCGTTCTAAACCCTTTGCAAATATAAACTCATTTTACGGTTATAATCCTCAAAATAGCTCTATGCGATAGATACTGCAATTATCCTCATTTTATAAATGAGGAAACAGGTGCAGAAATGCTCAATAATTTTCCCAAGTTCACCTGGCTAGTAAGCAGTGAGTGAGGGGCAGAGTGAGGTGCCCCCATCTTGCAGGTGACTGTGGTCTCATCCCAGCCAAAGATGTCACCGGCAAGTCCCTGTTCTACTGGGGATCGCTGCCCTTGGTGTGGTTTGGGGGAGCTAGCCAGGAGAGCCCCTGGGAGGCCCAGATGTTATGAGGTTCCCCTCAAACTGAACCTAGTCTGGTCTACAGGGTCCGTAATGGTGAAGTCCCCACTGAACAGGGAGCTGGTTGCCACCTATGAAGTCACTCTCTCGGTGATTGACAATGCCAGTGACCTACCAGAGCGCTCTGTCAGTGTGCCAAACGGTAAGACTCCCCCCCCCCCCCCGCGCCCCCCGCCCGGCCCCGGCTTCTGCCCATTAGGGCAGGGGCAGCAGGCTGGGAACAGGCACAGGCCTGCCCCCAGGGACGGAGCAGCAGGACCCCCTCACTGCAGGGGCTGCCAGTGGTCAGGCTACGTGAAGGGTATGAGGGGCGGCCGCTACAGGGAGGCTCAGGGTGGCCCTGTGTCCCAGTTGTGAGAGCTCAATGGTGGGGGATCCAGAAGCCCGGAACCGTGTGTGATCTTGAACCCAAAGGCTCAGAGGGGGAAGGAGGTTTGGCAGAGGCTGGACGGGCATTGAGAAATCGACCGGCCAGAGTCCCACCTCAGAGCCAGTGGGGAGCGTGTGGCTGGCATGTGTGACGGGAACCCCAGATCCCACGGCAAACTGTGGGGTCAGCCCAGAGGAAGGAAAGCGTGAGGAAACGTGAATGTCCATGGAGGCCAAGACACCACTTTGGAGGGCGCAGGCACCAGAGCCGAGAGGGGTGCAGGCCGCTGCCCTGCTCGCAGCCTGAGGCACAACCGGGAGGGGCTGCTAGAGGAGTGGATTTTGCATGGGCAGAGCCTGAAGGGGAGGCGGGTGTGGCGACGGGGTGGCCTCAAGTCACCCAGCTGCAGGGATGGGGAGATAGACCTGGCAGATATTGGCTGCTTATCTTTACAGGCCAGAGCCCAAGCTCTCAGGAAGGAAGAGCAGACCTGGCCATTGCCTGCATGTCCCCTGCTCAGAGGGCAAGGGCCCAGGCAGGTTACCTAGAGGGGATACCTCCAGACTAGAAGTAGAAGGCTGAATCAGGGAAAGGGTCTTCGACCCTTAGACCGTCTCACAGTCCTACCTCATTGGACAGGTTGGGAAACTGAGGCACAAAAGGGCCAGGGGCTCTGCCAAGGTCCACTCAGCCGGTTGGTGGAACTCAAACCCCTTCCCCTATGGAAGAGTGAGCGACCTAGACCAGGGGAAGGAGTCACATGCCACCACACGAGGGTTGGGTCGCGCTTCAGGGTGTCCCAGGAGGGCAGTGGAAGGCTACCACCCTCTTCGGGCTTGACTGACACTTTAGGAAGGCCAGGCCTAGCCACATTGGTGTCCCTCACGTCACCCTCACCCCCTGCTTCCACCCCAGCCAAGCTGACAGTCAACATCCTGGACGTCAATGACAATACGCCCCAGTTCAAGCCCTTCGGGATCACCTACTACACAGAGCGGATCCTGGAGGGGGCCACCCCCGGCACCACGCTCATTGCTGTGGCCGCCATGGACCCGGACAAGGGCCTCAATGGGCTGATCACCTACACTCTGCTGGACCTGATGCCCCCAGGCTATGTCCAGCTGGAAGACTCCTCAGCAGGTGGGTGGGAAATCTGCCAGAAGGGCCCTGGGGGGCATGGATCTGTGCCTGCTCAGCCTCCACAGGGGACCGTGGCCCACGTGTTGCCCTCCAGTCGGGGCCTCACCCTAGCCCCTCGGTGGGCTGGGCCAGATCCAATATGGCCAGCATTCCCGTCACTCCCAGATGCCCAAACTACAGGAAAGGAGAGTACCTAGTCCCAGGTGGGGTGGAGGCCCCCTCTGAGGTCTGCTGGACCCCTGGGATACTCCACCAGCATCTCTACCACCCAGCCTTCCACTATGAGTCTCACTTAGGGAGCGAGAAGGCCAAGACAAGAATCTCTCAGAGGAGGTTCCGGGCTAGTTGGTACTCATCCCTTTGACTTGTGAAAAGCTTTCTCACCGCTCCGGCAAGGAGAACAGCTGGATACCAGTTGCCGTGAGGCCTCTGGCCTGCCTGCCCCTGGGCACTGCTGCGGGGCCACCCTCCTTCTTCAGGGGGTCACCCCTGCCCCTCAGAGTTCCAGATCCTTCTCTTTATACTCTGGAGAGCTTCCATGAGTGAGGAGCGGCCAAACCAGCAGTGGGTGCCTCTGTGTTTTAGGGAAAGTCATTGCCAACCAGACGGTGGACTTTGAGGAAGTGCACTGGCTCAACTTCACCGTGAGGGCCTCAGACAATGGGTCTCCGCCCCGAGCAGCTGAGATCCCCGTCTACCTGGAGATCGTGGACATCAATGACAACAACCCCATCTTTGACCAGTCTTCCTACCAGGTGGGCAGCCAGGCAACAAGTTGGGTCAGGACCCAGGCCCGGGCCTTGGGGCCTTTGGGCATCTCCCACCCCTACCCTGCTGGCCTCTGCGCCCCGCAGGCGTGGCCACCCCATGAGCAGCTTGGTGCCCTGGGTTGTCTACCAGGTGAGCTTTCCGGGCAGGGGCGTAGACACTAGGCCTGACCCGAGCCCACTCTCTTCTCTCCCTGCCCACTGGGCTCCAGGAAGCTGTCTTTGAGGATGTGCCTGTGGGCACGGTCATCCTGACTGTCACCGCCACAGACGCTGATTCGGGCAACTTTGCCCTCATTGAGTACAGCCTCGGGGATGGAGAGGGCAAGTTTGCCATCAACCCCACCACGGTAAGCAGGCCAACTGGGTGGTGGGAAGGGCGCAGGGGCAGAGGCTGAGAAGCCGCCACAAGTCGTCCCAGCTTCTGGGTCCTGCCATTGGGATGTCTGTGGTCTCAGAGGTTTTTCCACCAAGTCAGCAAGCCCGGCAAGAGTCCCAGACATCCTGTAGACTGTGGCCTTTCTGTGTCTGTGGCCAGAGTTTTTTGGAGCTAGTTTTTTGGAACTTTGTGGGACAAAAAAAATTCTGAGATGTGTCCCCCACCAGACTAGAAAACTTGACTCGGGTCCAGGCGACTGCTTTTTAAAACTGTCAAAAGAGAGGTATAGGAAGCTCTGTGGCAAGGGGACACAGTGTTCGAGCTCCTACTGTATCCATGGCCCTGTGTCAGTGCTGGGGGGCGGGGGAAGAAGCCTCCGTGGGTGCCTGCCCCATGCTGCCGTGGGTCTCAGACTTGTGGGAGAGTAGAAACTCAAGAGAAAGGATGGGTGATGATTTCACATGACTGTAAATTGGTTCAAAGCTGCTGTTTCAGCACAGGGGGAGACCACTGTGGCCTGGGGGTGGCTGGTCAGGCAGGGCCTTCCCCAGGGATGGGGTCAGAACTGGACTTTCCCTCCTACAGCCTCTCACTGCCCACATCCCCCTGCACTCTGCCCCATCAGCAGGCTTCTGTCCTTCCTGCTCAGTGTGAATGATCAGTCATGCCCCTGGCCTGGCACTGTGAACAGCAAATGCTCTACACCTGGCCAGGTAGCGAGCTCCAGCCTGGGCTGTCCAACCCATCTCCAGGTAGACTGGAGTCGTGAGGGCAAGCGGAGCCACTGGAATCCAAGCTCCCTGGGGGTAGGGGCTGTTGTCTCTTCTGTTCGGTGCCGTGTCTCCAGAGCCTAGAACAACGTCTGGCGCAGAACGAATGCTCAATAAATATCAGTTGGATTGATGAAGGACCTGATTCTACCCTCCCCTTACTAGGGTGACATCTATGTGCTATCCTCTCTGGACCGGGAGAAGAAGGACCACTATATTCTGACGGCCTTGGCCAAAGACAACCCTGGAGATATAGCCAGCAACCGTCGAGAAAATTCGGTGCAGGTAAGGGCCACGAGCCCAGGCCAGGGACCCTAAGAACTGGAATTGTGGAGGCAACAAGCAAAGCCTTAACTTTAGAGAATGCTGCAGAGTGGGAGCAAGCCCCCCCGCCCCCGGGCCCGGTCCCCTCGGAGACGTGGTGGCAGCAGGAGACAGCAGGAGCTTAGCTGGGTGAGTCAAATGGCAGTGGCTTAGGGAGATGGGGACTCTCTAAGAGAAATCTGTTGTGCCCAACCCCTGTGAAGACAGTGTTTAAAATACCTGAGTGTAACCCAAGTAAAGCCTGGGGCTCCAATGTCCCACTATCCATGGTGTCCCAGTGAAAACAACAGTCCAGCAACTAAACATAATCATAACACAGTTATTTTCATGTATGTCCCTTCAAGAACATTAGGAGGCTTTCCAGTTCTCAGCCCCATTCCCACTCCGGCTCTAGCCTCAACGCAGTTCCCCTGAGGCCAGCCTACCCCCTTCTAAGCTCTGGCCCCACTTCTGTCCAAAGTCCCATGCCTTGAGGCTCTGCTCTCTCCTTCTTTCTTCCCCGGTTCCTGCCTTGTCCAGTCCTGTGTTTCTGTATGCGGTTCTGCCGTTTCTCCCCACAAGAGCCTAAGCATCCAAGGAAAACTGTCCTGGAGCGTGGGGGCTGGTGAGCAGCTGGGTGGGCAAAGACAAAGTCCTGTTAGCAGGTGTCCCTGAGGGGGAAGGAGTCGGGAGCACTCACACGCCCGAATCCCGTCCCTGTCACATTGCTGCGCGGGGAACAGCCCAGTATTTGGAGTCAGAAGACTAAGACTGCCCTCGGCGCTGGGCATATAACCTCTCTCTGAGCCTCAGTTGTCAACCCTGCAGGGGGTGGGAGGCCGGGGCAGCAGTGATGATGCCTCCTCCCCCAGGCAGTGGTGAGTCAGGGAGATGGGGAGTTGGAAGGTGCTTTGTGCACAGAACAGGGTTCTTAAAATCCTGAAGGGTTCTCGTGGGGATGCAGTCAGGCAGGGCCTCAGCAGCCAGGGGAGAGACGGCCTTCGGCCTCGTGTGTCCGTGGGCCCCACCCTGGCCCGGGGGGTCGGCAGAGGGAGCCAAGTTCCAAGCCAGACACACATCCCAACCAAGAGCGAACTTTTGGGAGTGGAGGAATCATAGGGCAGCCTTAAGGTAGAGAAATCAGAGCCAGATGTAGGGGCCACAGTGGGAAGGAGCAAAGGATGGAGTGGGAGGGGGGTGGGGAGGGCTCCTTGCTTCGGGACCCAGACACAGATACCTGGTAACCACAGGACTAGCTGCAGAGCATTAACTGGGGCGCTGTGCAGTATGGGTGAACCTTAGCGGCCCTTGAGAGATGAGATACTACTGTCCCCAGCGCACAGCTAAGGGCACGGAGACTTGGCCGGTGGGGGACGGGGAGTAAATAAATTGAGGTCGGAATCCAATAGTGGGCACTGTCTACCCTGGCTTTTACTCCTGTATGACCGAATCACCCAAAGCAGCCCCTCAGTATGCTCCTGACCTTTGACCTCAACCTCCCCGCCCCCCCCCAGGTGGTGATCCAGGTGCTGGACATCAATGACTGCCGGCCACAGTTCTCCAAGCCCCAGTTCAGCACAAGCGTGTATGAGAACGAGCCGGCAGGCACCTCAGTCATCACCATGATGGCCGCCGACCAGGACGAGGGCCCCAATGGGGAGTTGGCCTACTCACTCGAGGGCCCTGGCGTGGGTAAGTAGGCCGCTCCCCACCCGTGATGCCTTGGGCGTGGGAGGAGCAGGTGGTGGTGCGCAAAGCCCCAGGCCAGGAGGAGGAGGAAGAGGGACGGGAGGGACGTCTCAGCCAGAGCCAGGCCCGGCTCTCCTGTCCCACCCGCCAGAGGCCTTCCACGTGGACATGGACTCAGGTCTGGTGACCACAAAGCGGCCGCTGCAGTCCTACGAGAGGTTCAACCTGACCGTGGTGGCCACGGATGGCGGACAGCCCCCACTCTGGGGCACCACCATGCTCCTGGTGGAGGTCATCGACGTCAACGATAACCGCCCTGTCTTTGTGCGCCCGCCCAACGGCACTGTCCTCCACATCAGAGAGGTACCGCTGTCCCTGGGCCTCCCGCCCACCACCATCTCCCTCCCGCAGTCACGCCTGGAAGAGTGAAAGGGTCCCCCGGGGAAGGTGGGGAAACTGAGGCCACTATGCCAGCGCAAGGTCCTGGGCCCAAGTCTAACCGTCACTACTGTGACCTTGAGAAAGTGACTTCTCTGGGTGGCTTTTCATCCGCAAAATGGGACTAAGAATAGTAGATGCCCTAGCTCTTCCTCCTAGACGTCTGCCAAAAAAGGCGGCCTCCCCGGACACCCACTTCCCCGTATCTGTGTCTCAAAATAAACATACATGTTCCTTCCGCCTGTCTGCTGTTCCTGCTGATACCCGGCCTAGGGACTGGGGATGGGCATCCAAATAAGAAACAAGGGGAAGTGGCTGAGGTTCCAGAATTCCCCAATCCTTCTTCCATCTCTTGATCCAAATTGCCTCGTAAAGGCAGGGAGCATTCTTTTATCCCCTGCCCTGCCCCCTCCTTCCTCTCAGCCCCCAGGCCGGACCTGCTCAGTGCTGGTCTACTCCGGGGATCTCCCACTTGTGCGCTGTTCCCACAACTTCAGCATGCCTCTGCCTCTCAGAATGTCAGTATCAGGTCCTTGTCACTGTCCCCACTTTGAGGTCCCACAGGAGACATATCTCCCAGGGCTAAGCAGCAGGAAACGCTGTGCCCAGACCTTGTGAGTTGCTTTATCCGGTGCCCACGGCAGTGAGGGAGTGGTCCTCTTCGAGCTGCCCACTGGGGAGCTCGGCGAGGCCAGCCCACGCTGAGTGACCCTGCAGGGGCTTAGTGCACAGACCTTGCCCCCCACCCCTCAGTTTCCATTTTCCTGCCAACCGTTTCTTTTTCTTTACCCTGATTTTTTTTTTTAACTTGTTCATTCTTGTTATAATTTATACGTTCTTGTAAGTGGTCTCAAATCTTTTTTGTGGAAGAAGGCAAGATATAAATTAATAATAATCTAGTTCTGGGCGCCTGGGTGGCTCAGTTGGTTAAGCGACTGCCTTCGGCTCAGGTCATGATCCTGGAGTCCCAGGATCGAGTCCCGCATCAGGCTCCCTGCTCGGCAGGGAGTCTGCTTCTCCCTCTGACCCTCCCCCCTCTCATGTGCTCTCTCTCTCATTCTCTCTCTCTCAAATAAATAAAATCTTTAAATAATAATAATAATAATAATCTAGTTCTTTTCCACAACAAAGGCCCAATTTGCTATGTTTTCCCCTTCAAGACACCATATTTTGAAAGATTCGTGTCTCCCAAACAGCAAGCATTTGTCATCATACTTGCTATTTTTTTTAAAGATTTTTTATTTTTTTATTTATTCATGAGAGACAGAGAGAGGGAGAGAGAGAGAGAGAGAGAGAGGCAGAGGGAGAAGCAGGCTCCCAAGGAGCAGGGAGCCCGATGCGGGACTCGATCCCAGGACTCCGGGATCATGACCTGAGCCGAAGGCAGACGCCTAACCATCTGAGCCACCCAGGCGCCCCATACTTGCTATTAATTAGATAACTACCATTTAGAGTTTCTGATTGTCCTGATCAGTGAGATACAAAGTAAAACCATGCTGAGCTGATAATTTTTCAAGTAAAGGCCAAGAAATGTGCTCTTTTCCTTGTGCCCTGTGCAGCCTTATTATGGGTCAGTGTATGATGTCCATCAGATTTCTTGAGATCTTAGACGTAACTCAAGGGAATCAAGAGCCTGGGGCCCAGAGAGGTAGAGTGCATGTCCAAGTCACACGGTGAATTCGTAACAGACTAGAACCCAGCTGTTGTCTCTATCCACCAGGTCATCCTACCCGCCTGTCCCTCATTTTCGGGCACCCCATTGGGTAGATGGTGTTTTCTGGGGATACCTAGGGCTCCTGTGATTACGGTAGCAGAGCACAAGACAGACCCAGGGACAGAGGGGTAGCTATGGCCTCAGCCTTTGGATTCCCCTTCTGCCTTCCAGTGGGATCCAAGGGATGGGGGGAAGCCCCTGGAAGGGCACTAACCCTGAGAGAGTGTGAAGCATGGTGGATGGAGACCAGGCAGGTCCACTGAGGGACAGTGGCGTGGGGGTGGGGTGAAGGGATGTTCTAGCAGGTGCTCAAGACTCCAGGAGAGTCCAGCTAAGCCGGCAGACGTTTCCTAAGGCTGCTGGAAGGTGGCAAGGACAGTCTGCTGAGTGAGGAGAAAGAACAAGAGCGCCATCAGGGCCTGGGAGCTGGGATTCTCAGAAGCCCCAGGAGCCTCCCTGCCAAACCCCCCTACCCCCCACCGCAGGAGATCCCGCTGCGCTCCAATGTATATGAGGTCTATGCCACAGACAAGGACGAGGGCCTCAATGGGGCCGTGCGCTACAGCTTCTTGAAGACGGCGGGCAACCGGGACTGGGAGTACTTCACCATCGACCCCATCAGCGGCCTCATCCAGACAGCTCAGCGCCTGGACCGCGAGAAACAGGCCCTGTACAGCGTAAGCGGGCGGGACCCGGGTGAGGGGCGGGACCGAGGGCGGGGCTTTCCTCCGGGCACAGGGCCGCCCCCTCCCCGCCTAGAATGCCTGCCAGGGTGGTGAGCTGGCTCCCCCGGGGGGAGACCTCCTCTGACTGTGTTCTTCTGTCCCCCAGCTCATCCTGGTGGCGAGCGACCTGGGCCAGCCAGTGCCATATGAAACCATGCAGCCGCTGCAAGTGGCCCTGGAGGACATCGATGACAACGAACCTCTCTTTGTGAGGCCTCCAGTGAGCTCACCGCCGCCCCCCCACCCCCGCACCAGCCACACCCACACAGGGACTCACCTGCCTGCAGGCGCACATGCTCACCCGCCCCTGTGCACACCGTGCCGCTACGTGTGGTTACGCACGGAAACTCTGCATGCACCTCACAGAACAAATATTTATTGAGCAGTTGCTATTTCAAGGTACTACTCGGCAGTCAGAAAAGCAAACAGGCCTGCCTCGTGGAGAGGTAGCTCTCCTGATTGCACACACAAGAGCGCGCAAGAAAACTGAAATTCAGCTCTGCCGCACAGAGCTGGGGCTGAGCCCCTCTTGTTGACTCAGACTCTGCGACTTGGGGTTTTTTCTTGTGTGCACATGGGATGTGAGGTTCTCCGGGGACCGTGTGAGTGCGGGTGTGTGCGCGCATGCACATGTATATGACTGTGCCCCCTTGCTCAGGTGTTCTGTGAAGCTCTTTGCTTCACAGAACAGGCCAGGCCAGGCCCAACCCATGCTTCCTTGATGTTCCAGAAGCTCTGCTCACCCCACGGGGCCTGGGCAGTGAAGTCCCTCAGCCCACAAAAGGCACTGCCTGGGGCCCTCCGACCTTGGCCTCCTGTGACCTCCCTCTCCCCCCCTGCAGAAAGGCAGCCCCCAGTACCAGTTGCTGACAGTGCCCGAGCACTCTCCACGTGGCACCCTCGTGGGCAACGTGACAGGCGCCGTGGACGCAGACGAGGGCCCCAACGCCATCGTGTACTACTTCATTGCAGGTGGGACCCGCGGGCTCCTGCCCTACCGACCGTGGGGCTGGAAAGGACCCCACCATGGCCCACCCCGGCCCCACCCCCTCACCGTGCCATGGTCCCGCCCCCAGCCGGCAACGGAGAGAAGAACTTCCATCTGCAGCCTGACGGGCGCCTGCTGGTGCTGCGGGACCTGGACCGGGAGCGGGAAGCTGTCTTCTCCTTCATCGTCAAGGCCTCGAGCAACCGCAGCTGGACACCTCCGCGGGGGCCCTCCCCGGCCCTCGACCTGGTCACCGACCTCACCCTGCAGGAGGTGCGCGTCGTGCTAGAAGACATCAACGACCAGCCCCCGCGCTTCACCAAGGCCGAGTACACCGCAGGTGCCGGGGGCAGGGTCTGGGCCCCGGGGACGGGGCCTGGGTCCCAGCCCTGCCACTTACGTCCGCCTGCCCATTCCACAGGAGTGGCCACCGATGCCAAGGTGGGCTCAGAGTTGATCCAGGTGCTGGCCCTGGATGCAGACATTGGCAACAACAGCCTGGTCTTCTACAGCATCCTGGCCATCCACTACTTCCGGGCCCTTGCCAATGACTCTGAGGACGTGGGCCAGGTCTTCACAATGGGTAGGAGCCTCCACCCAAGACCTCTGTCACTGCATGGACTGTAGTCTGGAGGAGATGGGGTGTGTGTGGGCACCACAGGGTATGAGTGACTGGCCAGCCAGCCATGTGAATCCTTCCATTCACCCTCCCTAGATCTAACCGTCATACAGCCAGCCCCTTGTGAATCCTCTCCTCCATCTACCTTTCTAGTCTCTGATCCACGTCTCCATCTCTCCATCTACCCACCTGCTTTCTCCTTCCTTCCTTCCTTCCCTCCATCTTCTCATCCATCCGTTATTCATCCATCCATCCATCCACCCATTCACCCACGCATGTGTCAGTCTGCCCCACCCCGGGCATCTGTCCATCCTTCCTCTCACTCATCCGTCCGTCCACCCATCTACCCATCCGTCCATTTCATCCATCCACACGCCCATCCTCCTTTCCGTATATCCGCCTGTCTTCCCATTTGTGTACCTCTCCCCTCCCCCGGGTCAGGCATTGTGCTAAGCACTGGGGAAGCACGTATGTACCTAAAGGTATGCATTTTGACTAGTGCATTTGCCTGTGTGGATAGCTGAGCCTCTTGGGTCAGGTTCAAGAAGGTGTCCTGGTGGGTGTCCCATGACCTTACTTCTAGACCCCACCCCTTCCCCACGCTTGCCTACTGCAGTCTGGACTCCTTCCTTGGCCTGGCTTTCAAGGTTCACCAGGTCTTCCTCCCAGTCCCTCTTCTGTTTCCACAGCCCACCCACTACCTGTAAGGGCCCCGTGTCCACCCAAAGCTGAATGCCTCACCACTCCTGCAGCCTTTTCTAGACCACCCTCCGCTGGCCTTCGCTCTGTCTTCACCTCCTGAAATACCATCTTGACCTTCACCTCTGCCTTCAGATATGCTCCCCATTACCATCCTCTGGAGCTTAATTCACAGGCCACCTCCTCCGGTCACACAACCAGATGCCATCCTTTGTCCTCTGATCTACTGCTGCTCTTAGTTTAGTAAATTAAGGCACAGAGAGGCTACGTAGCTTGTGAACCCAGGTCTGCGGTCTTCTAAGACAAGGCTGCCACAGCACCTCGGGTCATCTCTGTAGTACGGCTGTGGAATCCTGAAGTGCATGTGTGTGAGAGAGACAGTCAGTGGGGGGCTCAGACGTGTGCCCTGGTCCCCCAGCACAGGACAGCAGAGTCCCAAGCTTACCATCTTTAGGTCGGTGCAGCCCACAGCTGTGTTTGAACTTGCAGGGTTTAAGTAAAACTTGGAAGTACCAGTTAGGGCAGCAGTGGCTGCCTTCTCTGAGGATGGCAATCAGCTGAGCCGAGGCCAATGCCACTGCTCCCTCAATGAACACTCACGTTCACTTGTCCCGCCTCAGTCATCTCTGCTCTCTCCTGGGCCCTGCGGGCACTTACGGCCTGAGATGCTGCCTCCCCTCAGTGTGTCCCCTGGCCCTCACCCCTCCCCAGCAGATTCAGGGGCACTGGGTGGTCCCTGAGCTGCACCTGCCCATGGGCTCTTCCCGCAGGGAGTGTGGATGGTATCCTGCGCACCTTCGACCTCTTCATGGCCTACAGCCCCGGCTACTTTGTGGTGGACATCGTGGCCCGGGACCTGGCAGGCCACAACGACACGGCCATCATCGGCATCTACATCCTGAGGGATGACCAGCGCGTCAAGATCGTCATTAATGAGATCCCCGACCGCGTGCGTGGCTTTGAGGAGGAGTTCATCCGCCTGCTCTCCAACATCACTGGTGCCGTCGTCAACACTGATGATGTGCAGGTGCCCCATGGAAGCGCCCCGGGTCTAGGGGCTGGGAGGGGAGGGGGACCAGGCCACAGGGACAGAGCATGGCGGAGAGATCAGCGGTCTGAGAGGGGGTCTGTGCTGCCTCAGTCATTCCCTAGCAACGTGGCCCTGGAACAGTCCTTCCACGTCTCTGGCCCTCAGTATCCTCACCTATAAAATGAGGCTAATAATAGTGTCCGGCCCCATGCAGTGAAGTGATTGGCATCATGCTTAGTCCTTGGGGAGCACTCAGCAGCGATGGGTTTATTGACAGGGCAGGCCAGGAGGGGCTCCCCATCCCATTCCTTGCTCCTGCCACAGCCCACCATGCCCCCTCTCGCCTAGTTCCATGTGGACAAGAAGGGTCGGGTGAACTTCGCACAGACCGAGCTGCTCATCCATGTTGTGAACCGCGATACCAACCGCATCCTGGACGTGGACCGGTGGGTGGGGTCTGTGCTCAGACCGTCAGCCCCACCTCCCTGCCCCGGGAGGGACCCCCCCAAAGGAGGCAGATAACACCATCAGGCTGGCTGTGTGGGGGCTCCCCCCCCCCGAGAGGGAGGCAGGGCCAGTAAAGAATAGTTTGGGGGTGTCCTCCACCCCTCTGAGCCTTACTCTCCCCATCTGTAAAGTGTAAATACTACATGGATGGTGAGGAGCAAGCAGGATCTTGTGTTGAGGGGTGGTAAGATACAAGCTATTCTAGCTGGGTGGGATCTGATCTTGCAAGGCTTGGTGGGGTTCAATTTGGGGGTCAGAGGCAAGAGCTCTGCAGACATTTCTGCGTGGGACAAGCTCTTAAGGAATGGCTGAGGGGAGCTGAGGCCCCTGCCCCTCATGCAGAGTGATCCAGATGATTGACGAGAACAAGGAGCAGCTACGGAATCTCTTCCGGAACTACAACGTTCTGGATGTGCAGCCTGCCATCTCTGTCCGGCTGCCCGACGACATGTCCGCGCTGCAGGTAGTCCTGGGGGCACCCAGCCCCGCCAGCCCTCTGCCCTGGGTGCTCTCGCCCACTCATGCCTGGCCCCACTCCCCCAGATGGCGATCATTGTCCTGGCCATTCTCCTCTTCTTGGCGGCCATGCTCTTCATCCTCATGAACTGGTACTACAGGACCGTGTGAGTGACCCCCACCTCCCTGCCCTGGGACAGGCTGACCAGCCCTGCTCCTGGGACAGTCACAGAGGCAGGCAGGGCCCTGAGATGCCAGCCCTGTCCAGCCTCCTTCACCAGCCCCTCTCTCTGCTTCCCTCCAGACACAAGAGGAAGCTCAAAGCCATTGTGGCTGGCTCAGCAGGTGAGCAAGGGCTGTGATGGGGTGGTGGCTGAGAGGGCAGGAGGGGCCTCGAGGGGCCTCGAGTGCCTGCCTAGGCCTCACAAGGCTGGCTCGGCTCCCCCGGCCCAGCAGGGTGCACCCCTCCCCTCCATACCCCAGCACTTCTCCCTACAGGGAACCGTGGTTTCATCGACATCATGGACATGCCCAACACCAACAAGTATTCCTTTGATGGGTAAGTGGGGTCCCTGAGCCCTCAGGGTGCACTTTGGGGAGGCCTGCCTGGGTCCCAACTGGAGTAGGTTCTCTACCACCCCTCAAGCTCTGAGGGACCAGACTAGCTAAAACTTGGGGCGGGGGTGCCCCCTAGTGGGCCAGTCACCCTTCTCTACACTCAGAAACTATTGGCTGAGCTGGGATCCACACCTTAATTGGGCCCCAGTTCCAGGGGACAGAGACTTTGGATACCACCTGCAGAGTGAGACCGCTGGACCCAAGCTGATCCAGATTGACACGTCACGCTGGTTCCTGCAGGATCCTAGTGTGGGAGGGTGCACCCCTGAGGGCCACAGGCGAGGGGCCTCCTTCTCATGGCCCTGAACCACCAGTCCCGTGCTGGCCAGGGAAGAGGGCAGGGGTTAGTGGTGAAGCTATGAGAGCATCTGTGCACTCAGGCTGTCCCTCGTCACTCCACCCCCCCCACCCCCCACATGCAGAGCCAACCCCGTGTGGCTGGATCCTTTCTGCCGGAACCTGGAGCTGGCTGCCCAGGCTGAGCATGAGGACGACCTGCCAGAGAACCTGAGTGAGATTGCAGACCTATGGAATAGCCCCACCCGCACCCATGTGAGCCAGTGCCAGAGCTGGGAGCGGGGGGGGGATCATGAGGGATGGGGGTGGAGGTAAAGCAGGTCTTGGCCACTGATCGCCAAGGAGCTGGGTTCCGGGGGTGGGGGGTGGGGGGACTGTCACTGCTCCGGGCGTGTATGTACACGTGTGTGCATGCAGTCTACCTCTGCTCCAGTTTGTGTTCTCCCCCCGCCCAGGGAACTTTTGGGCGTGAACCGGCAGCAGTCAAGCCGGACGATGACCGGTACCTGCGGGCAGCCATCCAGGAGTATGACAACATTGCCAAGCTGGGCCAGATCATTCGGGAGGGACCCATCAAGGTGAGTCCTCTCTGCAGGCTCCTGCACCACACCCCCTCAGGGCCCTGCACCCAGACCTCTGACGGCACTGGGACTAGCTGCAGAGGATACAGGAATGGGGGCGGATCCTGGGAAACAACTTTTCCACCTCTAGGCTCAGCTAGATCTGCCCTCCACTGGGCAAAAGTGTGCAGAAAGAGGGGCCCGGGCACCAGGCTGATGGGGAGCTGCTTCAGCCTGCAGTGGCCTGAAGCCCACGTGGGTTCTGGCTGGTCACTGTCACCAGCAAGCTCTGCTCCCAATCCTCTACCCTCGGATCAGGTGCCTGTGATCACCTTCCATCACCCCCATCAGAGTTAGTGAGGGGAGTGGCAGGCAAGGGAGGGCCTTGGTGGGGGGGTTAACCCTCTCCCTCCCCCAGGGCTCACTGCTCAAGGTGGTCCTGGAGGATTACCTGCGGCTCAAAAAGCTCTTTGCACAGCGGATGGTGCAAAAAGCCTCCTCCTGCCACTCCTCCGTCTCTGAGGTAGCCGGGCGAGCCCGGAGCTGTGTGCTGTGCCCCAGCGCTGGGGGTGCTCATTCCCTCCCTCCCTCCCTCCCTCCCTCAGTCCCTCTCCCCAGCCACCCTCATCCTTCTCAGAGTCTCTAGAGTTCAGCAGCCAGGGCCAAAGACAGCAATGGGCGGGGTCCAGGAAGTCTACCTCCTGGGCTCCACAGTGGGCTTTCCCAGCGTGGGTCCTGCGGAGGGTTTCTCAGGCTTGAGGGGCCCAAGAAAACGCCCGGGAGTGATGTCCTATAGGAAACTGGCTCAGGGTCAAACGGGTCCATATAGGTTTGTCTGCCTGCAGTAGTGTCAACACTTTAAGAACTCAGACTTTATTTAAAAACCCAGATTTCCAGTTGGGCCAACAATTCCCAAATGGAATAGGCCAGAGCTAACAGTTCCACACGGGACAAAAGTGCCACATGGTGAGTTTCCACTATATCCTGTCACCCCTCCAACTTCACCTGTGGACACTCCCTACCTGGCCAGAGTGGATCTTGTTTGAGGACAGAATGGTAACAAATGAGATCCCAAAACTGCATCATAGGATCTTTATAGATCATTAAATACACAGAATTCAAGATTCTCATGGGAAGCCCACGTTTTAAGAACACCACCCTAAGTGTCCGTGGTGCCCCCCCCCCCTTTGTACCCAGTTTGAGAACCACTGTCATCAGCTAACAGGCCTACTGCAGCTCGAGCCCTGAGTTCCTTGCAGTTACCTGTGTGCAGGAGGGAAGAAACAGTGACATAGCAGGTGCGACTCTGGGGCCAGCCACCTGCTCAGCCCTTGGGCATGGCCCTGAGCCTGGGCGGGTCCCAGAGCCACTGGCGGATCCTGGCCTCTTGCAGCTGATCCAGACGGAGCTGGAGGAGGAGCCAGGGGAGCGCAGCCCTGCCCGGGGCAGCCTGCGCTTCCGCCACAAGCCGCCCACGGAGCTCAAGGGGCCCGACGGCAGCCACACGGTGCACGGCAGCACCGGCACGCTGCTGGCCACTGACCTTAACAGCCTGCCCGAGGATGACCAGAAGGGCCTGGGTCACTCGCTGGAGACCCTGACCACCGCGGAAGCCAGTGCCTTCGAGCGCAACGCCCGCACGGAGTCAGCCAAATCCACACCCCTGCACAAGCTTCGTGATGTGATCCTGGAGAGCCCCCTGGAGATCACAGAGCTATGACCAGACAGAGGGGGGGGCCCTGCTGGTGTCCCCCATCCCTCCCAGGGCAAGGGCAGAGCAGGACCACAGTGTGGGCCCCTCCCCAGGCCAGCCAGGGCTGTACCACCTCGGGCTGGCCTGGTGGAGCCTGCTCCAGTTGCTCAGACTCTGCTTCTGCCAGACGCCCATTCAGCACCTGACCTCTACCTTCATAAAATTTGTTATTTTTTTAAGAAAACCAAACAAAAATGATAAGCATCTGAGGACAAGGTAAGGAGGGTCACTGGGGGTCCAGGAGTCTGAGGACGAACTCAGCCCAGGCTGAGCTCTAAAAAGGCCACGGAAGCCCTCCCCACCCCCCGCCACATCCCTGTCCATCTCCCCCTCCCCACCGCCCCGCCACGCCCAGCACCAGGGGAGGGAGGCCCAGAGCTGGCTCACCCCACCTGGCCTTGATTCCCTGACTTCAGCTCAAGTCCCAGTGCATTTCTAGCACATCCCTGGCTGGACACCCAGCTGGGCGCCGTGAGTGATCCCTGCCTCCCCACATGGACATGGTCAATTGTCAGCGAACGGCATTCTTTACATTCCACTGGCTTCCTTCCCAAATGTGGCGGCTCGTAAAGAGAGAGAACTGGTGTTCCCTTGGATTCTGAATGTAGAGTGTTTGCGTGTATTCCTTTTTTAAATTATTCTCTCAACATTTTCCCCTTTTGTTTAACTGGTATTCACTGAACGTTTCTGGAATAGTCTGCATTTTAAATAAGAAAAACAACTCACAAGGAGGCAATTCAATTCGTCCTGGCTCAGTAAACTACCCTCGCAGTTGGCCTGGGGCAAGGGGGAGGGGGCCTGGTCAGTGGGGGGTGGGGATTCTCTTTGCCAACTTTGCTTGCTTTCTGCGGCCAAGAGAGGCCAGAGGACCCTGGACACCCACAGGTCCATGGCCCTGCAGCGACTCAGAAACCAAACACTGGCTGAAGTGTTACAGAAGCACTCAGGCTCAGGTCTGGTTAACAGACTTTATTTATTGTTAAATCACAGAAACTTTAGTGCAGAACAAACCAAAAAAGTCATTGAGTCCATTTAACAGCAACTGCACATCTCGCGGTCTCCTGGCAACTAGAAGTGGAACAGAAGAGGAGGCCCAACGGGCGAGGCAGGCGGCAGCCAAGGCCCCGGGACAGCACCCCCAGCACCCCTCTACCTGACAGCCAGAGGCTTAGGAGCCTCTCATCCACATTTACATCCACATTTATCTGAAGGCCAAAAAGACCAGCTAGGAAATGGGGGATGGAGGTGAGGGGGCTGGGAGGCACTAGAGACGCATGAAGCAAGGCTCCAGCGGCCGGGCAGACACGAGAGCAAGAGGCAGCCACCACTGTCCGCACGCACGCACGCACGCACACACGCGCGCCAGGCCCACAGGATCTGCACGTGGAGCTAGCAGACGACATTCAGACAGGTTTCCCCCCCTCCCGCCACCCAGATCCACAGAACCCTGACCAAGGCATCACCAGGAAAGACACACACACCAAAGCTGAACTGGAGGGTGACCCGGGGACAGCCACCCCAAGACCCACCCAGGCCTCCCGGGCAGATGCCTCCCAAATCTCCCCTGCGGTGAGAACTACGTGGTTTTAAAAAGCCTCTTTATTCTGAGCCTCTCATCTTTCACATAACACCACCTTTGTTTTGCTTCTCTGGAGAGCAGCCCCGGAAGAGGGGAGGTCCCTGCTGAGGGGCAGGCAGAGGGCTCAGAACAAGGCCCCAGCCAACAGGATGGAGGGCCTCTGTCAAGCAGCTCTGGTTCACACCAGCCCCCAGAGCCCCCCACCACCTCCTCCAGGGAACCACCACGCAAGGGCAGGCTGAAAGCCCTCCAGGGCACGGTCCGTGCTCACCCATCTAGGCAAAGGAAAGGGACAGGGAAGCAGCGGGGGCAGCTGCAGGCCAGGCGCCTCCTGCACAGACAGCAATGCTACAGGGAACAGGAAAGGGAGGGAGGGAAAGGGAACCTATTTTTATAACAGAGTCAACAGATGAGAGTGTTCACTGCCCCAGACACACAAGTAGGAAAAGATGCTGCAGTTTCTCCAAGATGGAACGTCCCCCTTCTAGTTCCACACGTGTCGTTTGCAATGCTCCACAGCCTGACAAGAGAGAGGAAGCTGGCCTTAGTCTTCACGCGACAAACTCTACTCCTGGCCTGTTCCTGCAGCAGACATCACCCAAAACTGGAACCCGTCGTCCCGTCCTAGTCAGCTGGACAGCACCCCACTTACAGCTGGGGAGCATGTGGCCCCCGAGCGTCGGGGACTCCCCTAAGGCAAGAGTCGGGAGCAGCAGCTGCAGAGCCCCTGAGTGTTTTACCGGTGAGCACCCACGCAGGAGGGCCCGGGACCCCTCCACCTGGCTACAGGCGGAGTCCCAGCGCTCAGCAGGCGGCATGGAGGCCCCCCGAGGCAGAACTCACCCAAGACAGTGCACCTCGGCTCAGGCCTTGAGAACAGTGGCCCCACAGGCCCCCTTTGCCCAGGACGGCAGCAGGAACCTACTCCTCCCCTGACCATGCTATGCGCTGGGGCCGGCGGGGCAAGGAGCTGGACACGGCCAGGTGGGCATCACCGCCCCTTCCCTGCAGGGGCCCAAACTGATGGCAACCAGGCCAGTGGTCATGTCCCACTGGTCATGAAGAACCCGCTGGAGGAAGAAAAAGTTGCGAAAAAGAACATTAAGTAGCTGACTGGTCCACACGTCCCCAGCCAGGCAAGCAGGGTGGTGCACCACTGGGGGCGGCCCGGTCAGGACAGCACCACAGGCCCTGGAACCGCCGGGCAGGCACCAAGCCTCAGGGCCACTCAAGAACAACGGCTCGGCCTTGGGTGAAGACTCAGGCCAGGCTCCAGCCAAGAGTGACCCGAGGGAGAGGAGAACTTGTGCAATCTCTAGGGTGGCCTCGTGCGAATCCCATCCTGACCCTGTCAGAAGGGAACTAAAGGCAAAAACAAGGAAGCAGAAGCAAAAAAGCCCTAAAAGATACCCCCACCTTTTACTTCTCAAAGGCAAGAATGTCGTCAGTCATCCTGCCTTTGCTGGGCGGCCACGAAAAAGCCTAGCTGCTTCTCTGGGCCTCCGTGTTTTCCCTGACACGAAGGCCAGGTAGAGCTCCTGCCCCAGGGTTATCCCAGGAGCGGTGGCCAAGCTACTCACATTGCACTGGGTTGCTGCCTCCATGCTCTGGCACCAGTAGCTGGGGCCCCACACACACTTCTCGGTTCCCAAAAGAGGCTTATGGGCTGCAGGGCAGGCTCCAATTTTCTATGTGGTGAAAACGGGGAAGAATCAGATCTGCCCTACTGATCCTTTGCAAAACCAGAGATTATCCGCTTCGAGAAGCAGCTAGAACTAGAGCTCGGACATGCACTTCCAAAGTCAGTGCTGCTGCGGAAAGCCCTGTCCCCCTCCCACAGCCCATCCCCAGAGACTCTGGCAGAACCTCAGAGGAGCCCCTGCTCTATGCGGAACCGGCTGGGCCCCACGCTTTTCGGAAGCTTACCAAGCACACGAAGGAAGGGTCCATCACCTCCACCAGGACTTCTATTAGCACGGGCTCGTACTCAGTCACAAACTGATCACACTGTTAGGTAAACAGGGAGATGGGTCCAGGTCGAGGCGTGCCCACGCAGAGTGGGGGCATAAAAGAAGGGGCGCTACGCATGCTCTGCCAGCCCGGCACCCCCTTCCCAGATGCCCCCACCCGCACTCAGCCTCCCCTCAGCTGCTCCCGTTACTGCCCCTCCATGGCTCCCCTTGAGCCAACAGACTCCTCTAAGAAATGGCTAGTTTTCCCTGAAACCTTCAATCGGGGGCACAATCGAGGAGCTACCCCAGCCTTTGCACTCTGCAGGCAGGTTCAGACCTTCTGGCCCAAAGCAGCTCAGGGCGTACCTGCTTCTGGTATGGCTCAGGCAGGAAGCTGCAGCCTTTCTCAAGAGCAGCCAGGATCTCCTGCTTTGTGCTGTTTTTCTCCAGGCCATGGTCCACATAGGTCACCAGCTTCTTGCATACCTCACAGAAGCCACCGTCCTTGGGCTGAATCACACGGACTACACACAGGAGCACAGGCTCAGTGCCGGCAGGGCCCTCCCGAGCCCCCAGGGGCCAGCCAGCCGCCCCCTCACCCCGCTCACCAGGCAGCACAGGCAGCCCCTGGGTGGAGCACAGATGGAGCATGCCACACACGAGCTCAGGGCTTGCCTCCTGCAGGAGAATCGACAGGATGGAGGCGCCATAAGTGTCCACCACCTCCTGGCACTCCTCAGATAAGGACGCAGGCAACTTTGAGCACACTTTATCCAAAGCGTGAAGTATTTCTTCCTGAAACACAGAACAAGAGGATCCTATTAGAAGAGAGGCTGGATAGGGCTGGGAAAGAATCTCAGAACACTAACATGACCAGGAAACCAGCCAACAAGCCAGGTGCTATTTCCTCCCCACAAAGACGAGACCTACAAAGCAGCCCGACCCCAGCCCAGAGGGATCCACCGGTGGGCGGCAGGTGTGCGGATTCCCAGGGCTGGTGTCCAATGCTGGCAAGGACACTGCTGGTTCTGCTACTAGGGAACAAGAACACCCTAGCATTCCAGAAATGCACATACCTCAGTCCTGTTGTTGTCAATGAGCTTGACCACCTCCTTCACCACATACTCGCACACCTCACAGTAAACATTAGCCTTCGCCTGGACCATGTCCTTCTGTGGGAAGGGCAGGAGAGCACTTTAATGCTGAGACCCTCGCCTCACCTCACACCCTGGGTCCTGCTGCTCTAAAGGGGAAGGGACACCCTGTGGCTAGGGACAGGAGAATGTCACACACAGGGTGGCTTCCTCCCAGTGTCCAAGTTCCCGTCCCTGCTGGTTTTATGTGGTGGGAGACCCATCCCTTTGCCCAGTGCTCTACCACCACTACCTCCCACCACACACCCCCCAAAGCCACAGAAAAACCAGTTCATACTTCAG